GTGGAGTCCTTTTTAGGCGTTTGGGGACCGTTTTTAGGTGTTCTGGGGACCGTTTTTAGGCGTTTGGGGGCGTTTTTAGGCGTTTGGGGGGCATTTTCTGTGCCTCTCTCTTCATGGGGGTGTCCCATTGAGTTGCTCTGACCCCCATTCCCCCCCTCCCGCAGCCGGAAGGGCCCGGGGTGGGTGCGTGGAGGTGGCGTCGGGCACGGAGGCGGTGCTGGGGCTCCCGTTCCGCCTCCTCTGCATCGCCTGCAAGCGCCGCAGCGAGACCCCAGCCGAGGCCACCGGAGAGTGGTTCTTCCGCGGGGAGGGAGACACCGCCTTCCACAAGGTACCGGGATGGGGAATGGGAGGGAATGGGAGGGGAATGGGGAGCTACTGGGAGCCACTGAAGTTGATTCTGGGGGCTACTGGGAGTCACTGGGAGCTACTGGGAGCCACTGGGGTTATACTGGGAGCTACTGGGGTCATACTGGGAAGCACTGGGTGATAGTGGGAGGTACTAGGGTCACAGTGGGTGATACTGGGAGCTACTGGAGGGCACTTAGGTTGTCTCTGTGGGTCACTGGGAGATACTGGGTGCTACTGGGGTCATACTGGGAGATACTGGGAGTCACTGGGAGCTACTGGGAGCCACTGGGGTTATACTGGGAGCTACTGGGGTCATACTGGGAGATACTGGGAGTCACTGGGAGCTACTGGGAGCCACTGGGGTTATACTGGGAGCTACTGGGGTCATACTGGGAGATACTGGGAGTCACTGGGAGCTACTGGGAGCCACTGGGGTTATACTGGGAGCTACTGGGGTCATACTGGGAGATACTGGGAGTCACTGGGAGCTACTGGGAGCCACTGGGGTTATACTGGGAGCTACTGGGGTCATACTGGGAGATACTGGGAGTTACTGAGAGCTACTGGGAGCCACTGGGGTCCTACTGGGAGTCACTGGGAGCTCCTGGGGTCATATTAGGAGCTACTGGGAGGTGCCGGAGGGCACTTAGGTTGCGAACTGGGAGTCACTGGGCGCTATTGGGGTGCACTGGGCGCTATGGGTGTGCTGTATCTCCCCAGATCCTGCAGTACAGCCCGGAGGAGGGCCAGTGGGTGGCACCGGGCCCCTTCGATGGGGTGCTGGTGTGGAACGGGTCGCGGGGCACGCGGGACCTGCAGGACCTCTCGGTGCGGTTCTCGGCCGTGGAGC